GAGCCGGTGAGATTTGAACAGCCAAACTGCTGAACTGCAGTCAGCTGAAGTAGCCTGCAGTGCTGCATTTAACCACTGCGCCACCTCGGCTCCTTGCCTATGGCACGCATACCACAATTGGCACACAGTGCCTTCTCTGTGGGCACGCGAGATGTCGCCCTAGTTCAGCTCCATCATGCATGAATGTGCACCTCTTGCTGGCCAGCTTGTTGTTGGGTCTCTGCCGTGCATGTGCGGGGCGCATGTGCATGGGGTCACACATGCATGCACAGGGCGGCAGGGAGCATATGGGGAGTGCACACACATTGCATTTGGGGGATTTGGATTTGGGCACTCGCTCCAGAAAAGGTTAGCCATCACTGCTTTAGACCGTTAGAAGAATAAGTCATTCAATAACAGGTGAATTAATACTAGACTTCTCTTTTGAAGCACTATTCATAAAGCTGGTTTAAATCTTTTAGAAACATAATGAAAAAGCAAGAGTGGTTAGAGAACACTGTGTGGCTTGAAAAAAATGGAAGGCAATAAGAAACAAAAGGCCAACACAAGATGAGGTGGCTAGATACTATCCCTGAAGACTGAAGCATAAGCTTGTAAAAAATCAACAAAGCACTGATAAATCCTATAGGTAAAATAATGTTCATTGGATCCAAATGTTTTCTACTCAGATGTACAGGACAACTGAAAGAACTAATTGACCATGTGGATTGTTACCACCCAGATCTGGTAGACTCAAGGTTAGGGTGAGGGTGAGGGACAAATGACTGTTGTACATATAGTCTTCAACTCACGACTACAATTGAGCCCAAATTTGTGTTGCCAAATGAGACAGTTGTTAAGTGAATTTTGCCCTATTTTATGATTTTTCTTGCCACGGGTGTTAAGTGAATCATTGTAGTTGCTAACTTAGTAACACAGTTGTGAAGTGAATATGGATTTCCCAATGGGTTGACTCATCAGAAGGTCGCAAAAGGGGGTTGCATGACCCCAGGACGATGCAACCGTCATAAATATGAATCAGTTACCAAGCATCTGAATTTGTTCACCTGACTGTGGGAATGCTGCAATGGTCATATAAGTGTGAAACATGGTCATAAATTACTTTTTCCCGTAATTTCGAAGAGTTACTAAATGAACTGTGGTAAATGAAGTTGCAAAAGCTATAGGCCTGGTCCCTCTTTATATGTTAAGATTGTTGTTCTTGGAATTTCCAGTTAGCTTCCCAACAGATCTGGAAACTACCAGATTTGTTGATTTACTATGTTTGAATGGTATTTAAGTGACCAGCAGAGCTCTTATCTTAATTCATTCCTAAGGATATCAGCTAAGTTTTATACCATGTTGTGTGCTTACAACAGTAATGTTAATGTTATACTGCTTTTTAGTAATTTAAGGATATGCTTATTTATTTTTGACAAATATAAACATTTCTTTTGTTTTTCAACCAAATTTTAATTTTTTATATTCTTTACACATATCAATGTGTGAATGGTATGGTAACTGGGTAACATACATTTCAGTACACATAAACATAGTCTTATTATTCCTAAATATTACATGTCATTTCCGTTATTTCATATTATTTATACATGCCTTTTATTATCACCCTTCATTTCTAAACCATCTTTCTGTCCTTTTGTATATCTTAACATATTAATATATAGTTATTATTTTTTCCCACTATTTTCTCCCCCTTTCATTTCACTATAATATTCAAAGATGTATTTTCCACCTTCATAAGTTCCATCCTTCATTCTTCCATTATTCAATATCTCCTTATACAGTTATAGTATCAATCACGATCATTTATACATTGAGGGTGTTTCTAATCATATTCGTGCCAGTTCTTCAATCCATATAATTCTACTATTAATACACATGTTTAGATTAATATATATGATAAATATAAACATTTCTGTGTTATATGCTTATATTTCAGTGAAGAAGAGATCCATGAATGTCCAGATTACTTATCTGCTGGGCCCAATTCCTGTTACTTTAATCAAAGAATCACCAGGCTGTGGCAATCATACAACATCAGTGTAAAAGCTACCAATGACGCAGGAAGTAATTTATCTGACCCCCATTATGTGGACGTAAAAGAAATGGGTAAGAGCAGAAGCCAGGTGAAACTCAAGCTTTTATTTTGTTCCAAAATTAGAAAGAGAGAAGATGGCAGGTCTTCTCAAAGCTAATCTTAATGTAGGCAGAAGAGGCTAGCAGTACGTCATCAGTTCTGTTGAAAATCAAGAAGAAAAATAATAGCGGACTGAGATTATCTCAGTCACAAGATCTATGACACATATGAAAGTTTCCTAGGCTTTAAGACCCAGATTTGATTCGTGATATCTTAGTTAAAAGAGTTGTCGGGTATCCAGATTCTTAAGATGAAATGCTGGAAAGATGGATAATATTGGCTTAGGTAAACTACTAGTCTTTCTCATTATGCACCTGACATCTTTTGTTTTGGAACTATTGGAGCCTGATAGCAATAGCACTTAGACTTATATACCACTTCATAGTGCTTTTACAGCTCTCTCTAAGCAGTTTACAGAGTCAGCCTATTGCCCCCAATAATCTGGGTCCTCATTTTATCGACCTTGGAAGGATGGAAGGCTGAGTCAACCTTAAGCCTGGTGAGATTTGATCTGTCAAATTGCTGGCAGCCAGTGATCAGCAGAAGTAGCCTGCAGTACTGCACTCTAACCACTGCGCCACCATGGCTCTTATCACGTCACTGTGGTACCTTCCAGATAGGACAATTCCCAGACGTGGAGAAAGGCTGACATGCAGAAATGTAAAAGGAGGAATTCTTGGCAAGAGCAGTAAAAATACTCACACCTGAATTTTCTTTTGCCTAGTTAAGCCAAACCCTCCCACGAATCTCTCTTTGGAAATCAAAATGATAAATGGAATAATGTATGTGTGGACAAAATGGTCACCATCCCTACGGGTGAATGATTCAGCACGATGTAATTATGAATTGCGACTGAAGTCTGCAGAAGGAAAAGAATGGGAGGTAAGAAAGTTGCCTAGCTTTCCTAGTGATGTTAGAAAAAAGAAAAAAGAAAAAGAAAGGGCAGCTGTCATCATAAATTTGATAAATAAATAAATTTCCTCAACTCAGAGAGTGTGCTTAAACCACAGTAATGTTTGACTCTTTACATGTCTTGACATTCAAACACCTGTATATAAGAAAAATTCAGGGAGGTAGGAAGGACTGGGCTGCAGGGCAGAATACATAATTGGCATGCCGAAGTCTCAGAGACCAGCTTCTTAAGGTAATGGAATCAGGGAACAGAGTGCCCCACCTGAAACTGACTAGCCCACTAGTCAATAGACCAGCAATATTGGCTAGGTAAGGGTTGTCCAACTCAAGGTCTGGGGGCCAGATCCTGACCAATGGGGTGCTTAGATCTGGCCAACGGTGCTGTCCTGAAGACAATGAAGGGCCAGCCCATGGTGCCTCTGCCATTGAAAATGGAGCTCGAGCAGGCCGCAGGTGGCCCTTGAGAGGTCACTTTTCACTGGCAGAGGGTTGTAGGAAGCTGTCACAGCTGAAAATGGAGCTCGGGAGCCTGTTTTTTGCGTGGCATGACAAAACCGCGCTCCACTAAAGCGCGCCCGATTAAACCGCGTCGCTGATGTCATCAGCAGGGCGACAACAGCGACCGCGGAGAAAAAAAAGCGCTTTAAATAGCACTTTGAAAGCAAGCCGATTCACGTTAAGGTAAGGGTTAGGTTTAGGGTTAGGTTTAGGGTTAGGTTAAGGGTTAGGTTTAGGGTTAGGTTTAGGGTTAGGTTAAGGGTTAGGGTTAGGTTAAGCGTTAGGGTTAGGTTTAGGGTTAGGTTAAGGGTTAGCGTTAGGTTTAGCGTTAGGTTAAGGGTTAGGGTTAGGTTAAGGGTTAGGTTTAGGGTTAGGTTTAGGATTAGGTTTAGGGTGGTTAGGTTTAGGTTTAGGGGTTAATTTTAGCTTTAGCGTTCACAGCGTGCTTTTTTCGTCGCGCTGTGATGACGTCAGCTACGCGGTTTCGTCAAGCACGGTTTTGTGGTGGAACCGTTTTTTGCTGGTAGAGTGCTAAGGCCACCACAGGTGCCCATGATACGAATGATATCAATCTGGCTATGCCCACCCCAGCTATGCCCACCCCAGCCCTCGGATGGGTCAAACACAGCCCTGATGGGCCCTCAATGAAAACGAGTTTGACACCAGTGGGCTAGGTGGACAAGTCACCTGGCTTGCTGTCAGACAGCCTTCCAGGAACTGATCTCCATCGCTGACATCTGAGGATTAATGGGTCTTTAGGGTGGTCTAACTCTTCTCAGTGAAACATGGATTTCATTCATTTCCAGACCATGATGCAGCTGGAGAGCTCAGGAATAGAGCCAGGGGTAGGTTCATACCAGCACTGGTGCCGGTTCGATTCGTGCGTGCTTCTATGCCGGCAATGGCAATGGAGACTGGGGAACCAGTTAAGGGGCATGGCCAGCCAGGGTCACTGCCGATTCTGAGACCCAGGCCAAATTACCACTACCGGTTCATCCGAACCGGTATGGACCGGTAAAAATCCACCTCTGAATAGAGCACAATATTGTCCGGTACTGTATCCAGTATTTTTCTGATCCGAAGCCTAATCAAGGAACTATCAAGGAGAAAGCAAATTGTCAGCATCACCTTTGCCAGGGCAAGCTATTGAATATAGACAGAGAGGAAATCCCACTCTCTTTTAGCACTGAGGGTATTACTCAATGTGGTAATGAAATGTCTGCAAATGAACAACCAAGCTCAGAGTCCACCGTTCAACACAGAGCTACAGATATTCTCTTCTAATATTTATTGGTAAAGTTCAGTAGAATATGGTGGTCTTTGTCTTATGAAATGATCTGTTGCTGAAGGCTATTGAAGTTAGATTTTTCCCAAATGCCATCACTCTTCTAAACAACTAATTCCCACAACACTGTCAAATTATTTACTAAGACTGTATTACTATTATTTTTCTTATCCTTCCTACTACCTGTCTCATCCCACTTATGACCATGTTGCTTGTATTTTTACAATTTATATTATTGTATTTGTTTCCTAGTATGATTTGATTGCTTAATAGTAACCTATGACTATCACTAAGTGTTATAACTTATGATTCTTGATGAATGTATTCTATTTTATTTTTCTTTATGTACACTGAGAGCAGATGCACTGAAGACAAATTCCTTGTGTGTCCAATCACTTGGCCAATAAAGAATTCTATTTTATTCCATTCCATTCCATATTTCTATTCTGTTCTGTTCCATTCCGTTCCATTCCATATTTCTCTTCTATTCTATTGCATTCCATTCTCTTCTCTTCTCTTCTCTTCTATTATTATATTATATTATGCTATACTATATTATATTATATTATATTATTCTATTCTATTATTATACTATACTATACTATACTATACTATACTATACTATACTATACTATACTATACTATACTATACTATACTTATATTATATTGTATTATATGATAATATATTATATTCTACTAAAGGCTATATAAGGTTAACAAAAGGCTACATGCAGTTCTAGGACTGCAATCTCTCACAATCACTTCACCAACCTTCATCAAAAATAGCAATAGATAGCGTTAGAAAATTCCAATTCTTCTCTTTATAAATTTCCAAGAGGCAGTAATCAATATAAGGGTAGAATCTACCTGCTTGGTGAGCACCTAACAATATAAGCCCATTCGACGACGAATAAGCAGATGAACAATGTTTCCGAGAATCCCAAGTAAACAGACGTCTCGCCAAATAAAATACCAGAAGGCGCATTAAATTGAGAAACATTTTTCTTGAACAAGGACCAAAA